AGACAGGCCCACTATAAAATAATGAAGGTTTAAGCAGCTTTTTAACATTTTCACTGAATATTTTGCTGACTTTCCACAACAGAATGATAGTAAAAGTACCAGTAACATCTTTAGATCTATTTATGTTCATTTTCCACCAATAACATCTCATTGAAAACAGATCCATACTGTTTTGCAAGTTTTTCTTCTTCTTAAATTCAAATATCTTATATAACATATGTAGGGAAGATGTTCCTAAAAGGGTTTAGCTTGTATCTGAAACAACAACCACAGCAGCTTGTCTGTCAGAATCTTTGGGTTAGGACGGACCTGTCTAATTCCTGGAAAACTTGTTTTTGACCCAACACTTGAACTCAACTCCCAGTGTACTTCTTTAAATGAGTGCCCATGGTGTATTCTGACACAATCAGTGTTACAACAGGACTAAGGAAAGGATCAGCGACACTAACTGGTTCCAGTTGGATGAATGGAGGATGATCTAGGAAGATCATATAGGACTTTGACATCTGTCGACTTTTCTTCTTTCTTTCTTTCGGTCTTTATTTTGGTTTATAGCATTAACATAAAATTTTTCTTTTCAAACAAAACAACAATATTAACAACTTGAATTTAAACCAAAAAAGGAATAGGCAGACGCAATGCTTATTTTAGCCTACCCTATTTTCCACCTAAGATACATAACCAATATACACTATATTCACTTCAACATAGATGTTTATTAGCCTGGCCTGTCAGACTCCTCCTCTGTTTAATTCAGCGCATAGAAAGGGTTTGGGAACTCTCCTATTCAAATAACCCCACCCCGTGAGAATTCTAACCGAGCCAATCAGCGCTGAGTAGCGTACGTCACACATCACAACGCTGAGTTTGTCATAAACATGGCGAGTGAAGTGGAGTTCGCTGCGGCTCTTTTCTATGTTCTAAATGACTTGGACACGTCTTTAAAACAAGTAGAAGCCGTAAAAGCCTTTCTTGTAAAGAAAGATGTTTGCGCTTTTGCCAGATGCCATTTTTGACTACAACTAAAAAAACACAGCGACGCCCAGTTTGTCATAAACAACGAAGACAGCAGCGGTGTTCGCTGCGGCTCTTTCCTCTGTTCTAAATGACTTGGTTGTTTTTTAAAACCACAAGTAAAGCCTAAAAGCCTTTCTTCTAAAAAAATGTGATGTTTGCGCCGTTGCCAGATGCTATTTTTGACTACAGCTAAAAAAACGACACGTGGTCCACTTGGCATTTCTGTCTTTTTTCTGATTGGCTATTTTAGAACAGGCTAGTCCCGCCCCTCATGTGCCTCTTTACCTGTGAGTTACCAGATTCTTTCTCTGTGCAGAATTAAATAGAGGGTGAGGCTGGCAGGCCAGGGTAGACGTTTATATGTTTCTATTTATTTTCTAATATAAATGCACTGTATAACTCTTGCTGTCAGTATTTGTAAAATATTTTTTTTATCAAATTGGGTATGTACTGGGTAGGCTTGAATAAATTTAACCTCAGCCTAAACCGTTCGGGTCATAAACTATGAGCAAGTGTTTAGGCTCTTTTATACTAGGAATCAGGAGCTGTATTTGTGATCATCTTGTTTCTGTCTATTTTTAATTTTTTCCCCCTCAGATTGTGTATGTGCAATTTTATTACCATAAGATAAATAAATAAAATCAACATTAATGAAAAATCATCTTAAATAATCGAGAGCTCAATTTCTGTAAAAATTATCGTGATTATCATTTTTTGCCACAATCAAGCAGCCCTATTTTATGGGGAGTGTTGCGGTCATGTCTTCCTCGTTTCTCGCTGGCCGTGATGCACTTAGATGTAACGCTGCTATTCCCATCACTGGTTACAATCAGTTTGGTAAACAATCAATGGTACTGCACTAGTTGATTTTAACAAGTAGTGAGCAGAATTCAAATTATGCAAGACATCTGTTGCATCAATTTGTGTTGATGTAAATTTTTTGGTAGGTATGACTCAATGTCCCATCAGTAATAGTCCTAGTTAACTTTCATTTATCAATTAGAGGATTTAAAATATGCACCTTGAATTATCAATGTCATTCAGGGAGTAAAAATGATTTGAGCATGCTTTATTAACAGACTATAGGTCATGAGGAGGACCCAAATGAATCTTCCCGGTGTTGAGTAACAGAACTCTGGAGAATATGAGATTTTGTGTGAAGTGATGGAAATTAGGGAGGCTCCAGGAACCACAAATGATCTAGTGGTGAATTTGCATACACCTGCTCTCTTCCTCCATTTTTACACAGTATTTTTCTGACCCACTTTTTATGATTTCCACTGCCAATCATCTCATCTTCCACTGCTTTTCATCCTCATCCTTTTGTGACCTCATCTTTCATTTCCAACACTGAATATTAACGACTAAAATCCCTTCTCCCTTTTTATTCACATTCGACTTTTCAATCCTCTTTCTACTAATCTACTAAACTTAAACCCTCACCTCATTTAAATTATCATTTTCTATTGCAACCAAATTAATATCTGCTATCATAACTGATTTGCATTTGAAAAATAAACTATTTTATTGTTTAGTCATACAAGCATTTTCATTGTAGTGGCCAAATCATATAACTTGTAACATGTAGCAATTTTATTCGAAAAACCTCAGCCACACACACACACACACGCACGCACGCACACACACACACACACACACACACACTTATCAATTTGGAAAAAAATTAGGGTTATTTACTCTATGGACAAGAAGTATTTTTTCTGATTTATTCCTTTGTAGTTCCCCATTGAATAGAATGTAAAGGGTGACTTCAGTTTTTTAAACAAAAGAACAAAGATTATTTCCTAATGGAGAAGATAGTATTCCTTTCTCTGGTCCATGTTTTACTTTTGTTTACTCTGGCAAAAACCCCAGGAAAGAACTCATTTTGTTTGTTGTACAGAGGAAACATATTCTGGTGACTGTTACAGAAGATCATTTTTCTCTAATGATCATTGAACATGCTCTGTTATATAAGCAAAATGCAAACTACAAAGGAAATATTAATGTGGTACAATTATCACAGCTTAATCAAGAGTGCTGAGGTGAATATGTTAAAGCTAAACAAGTGCCCAGGTGAACACATGAATATTTAGAAAAATCCTATTGTTTCTAATGTTAATTAAAAATGAGAATCAGCTGCTCTAAATCCGAGACCATGTTCTTGAACTGGAAAAGGGTAGAATGCCTTCTCCAGGTGAGGGATGAAGTCCTGCCTCAAGTGGAGGAGTTTAAGTATCTCTGGTTCTTGTTCACGAGTGAGGGAAAGATGGAGCGCAAGATCGATGGGTGGAGTGGTGCTGCATCTGCAGTGATGCGGGCGTTGTACCGATCTGTCGTGGTGAAGAGAGAGCTGAGCCGGAAGGAAAAGCTCTGGATTTACCGGTCGATCTACGTTCCAACTCTCACCTATGGTCACAAGCTTTGGGGAGTGACCAAAAGAAGATCGCAGATACAAGCGGCCAAAATTAGTTTTCTCCGCAGGGTGTCTGGGCTCTCCCTTAGAGATAGGGTGAGAAGTTCACTGCTCTTCCACATCAAGAGGAGCCAGTTGAGGTGGCTCGGGCATTTGGTCAAGATGACTCCTGGACACATCATTTGGAATCCAAGGAAGATACCACCCTTCTCCCCTGTGAATGGCTAGAAGGGTTCTCCTACGATTAGCTATATTATTTAGCAGCAAACCGTCTTCCCCCGCTAAGTGCAGACTGTCCTCCTGCCTCCAACAGAACAGCTGTTTGGGGGAGTTTTGTAAAGAAAACTTAGCGAAAATCTTGTGAACTTAGCGCTATAAGAACCATTCTATCCTGTTTTGCTAAAATGTTTGGAGTTTGAAAAGCCTTTACTCATATAGTCACACAATAACATGTTCCATCGCACGGTTGTCTACTTGTCATAGCTGCCAAACTGAGTAAAAGAACAGCAAAAATGCCAAAAATATTGACAGCTTTGGATTGTGACTGTACAGCAGGAAGCCCTTTATTTTGCTCTTGCACAAAAAAGAACAACGAACCTAAGTGAAACCTTTTTGAAACTAATGGTTGTTTCTTTTGCGTTTCATGTCAGCTTGACTTTACTCTACCTTTAGATGAAGTGAACTGTTGTATGTGTACACTTGTTGAGAGCTCCTCTCGTTTGAGGCTTTGAAATCTTTTTGCTGAATTAAGCCTTTGCATGACTGTTTCTTATGCAGCACAATCTGCACTGTATTTGCTCACCCTTTAACGTTGTTTCTTTTTCATTTTTATATTGTATTTTCTGTCACTATCATTTTAATGTTCAAGATAGTCTTCCTAATGGAAAGCACATTGAACTGCCTCTGTTTATGAAATGTGCTACATAAATAAAGCTGCCTTACCTAAAACAAGACGGGAACTTTTGATGTGCTAGGATTGTGTATTGGTAAGAATTTGGTGATATGCTATATGCCACAATACAGCAGAGATGATATGATGCACTGTGATACTGAAAGATAAATGATATTTGCACATTTTTAGACTACATTTAATTGGAAAACTTTGGCCAGATGCTTCCAGGACACGTCAAGTGTTATCACAAGATCTCACTGTTGCGTCAAAATGAAGGCAGTAAAATCTGCTGCCACCTAGCAGTCAGAGTTTGAATTGCGCTACACAAAAGACAGAGTAAATGTATGTAAATGCTAAATAAAAAAATCAATGCACTAGTCTTAAATATTGATTAAAATTCCTAATATGACATATTGAGATATTTCAGTGCATCGATATTTTCTTACATCCCTATTCTTCACACAGCCACAACTCAACTTACATGGCCTTTTCCAGATGTTATGGACTCTTTAAGTAAAATATGTGCTCAACTTCTCTGTGTAGCAGGATCTTTAAGAGTGCTTATAGATGAAACCACACAACTGCAGAAGATGTGCAGTCCGCTGAAACTTGATCACACATGAGGAGAATCTGATCAGTGATCTCATGCTAATGGAGCACAGCTCATGAACTTACTTCTCTGCGACGCGAAGCCCAGCAGGTCTGCTTGATCTTCCACACCACTGCTGCCACCAGGAGTAGAGACAGAAAGCAACTGTGGCCAAAGAGAGACAATATACAAGGTGATCAACTAAAAAGCGTTCATACTTACTGAGACTTACTGAGAGAAGCTATTACTAAGAACAATCATGTACTCAAATTCAATCACTTTGCTGTTTCATCTTGAAGGATTTCTTTTGTAAAGTTTTCTTTTGCTAACTCTCTAAAATTACCTTGTGAAAATAATTACACAACCTAATGGAAAATGGATTTAAATGCATCAAAATGATTTTTACAGACAACAAATTATCCAACAAACTGAGTCAATTCTGTTTATATTTTATTTTTTAGAAAGTGAAGCTGATTAACAAAATCCATGGATGTGTGGTGTGGTTAAATGTGTAACTATGCAAAAACAAAAAGAGATCTAAATATTCTACATTTCTAACTAACTCTAAAAAATACAAACCAGGAAAGATGATGAGAAGGTTGAGCAATAATGTCTCAGCAGACTGAATAGTTTGGCCGATTACCTCGATTAACAACCCAAAAGTACAATCATTAGTCAAGGGAAATTCAGCGAGATGCAAGCATGACCGATATAGAAAAATAAGACTGATCGAGATCTCCCACTTCATTATCCCTTAGACATAAATGTAAAGATGATTATGTGCTAAAGAGACAGTCTGCACTTTTTAAGAGCCAGCTTTGGTTTGAGTTGTAACGAAGAACATTTAGAAAATAAGATCTTCTGTTGTTGCTTGTAATAATTTTACATCTACTTTCTTTGCAGGTGTTCTTATGAATTAAACTAAAAGCTCAAACATTACTGTCCATGTAGTCTTAATTAAACACATGTTATTCAATAAAGTATCGTTATTCGGTTGTACACTACAGATAAAGATATATTGTATTATTCCACTTTCTACTGAATTAACTGAGAACAAGGGGCTGGTGTATACACCCAGGAAACAGGACAAAGACAATCCTAGTAAAAACACTCGCTGCAATGTGAGCAGCAGCCCCTTGTCTTCAGGGACGTGCCCCACTTCTGTGATGGTCGGACTGGTATAATCAGTTCATTTCACAGGAGACACACAGCCATCTCCAATATCACGGGCCGGTTTGTTTGATATGTAAACTTTAGACAAGCATTTGTTCTCTAGATGTATTTGATTAGATGTTTGAACAAGCTGATAGCGGAAAGAATCAGCAAGCAGGGCGGAGGCAGAAGGGAGGAAAATATCCTGCATTTAACAAATTTAATATGAAATATATGTTTTGGGCTGTTCCCACAAAAATACATTTTACTGAGTCATTTGGTATGTTGCAACTACAGAACAAAAGACAGGTAAGAATACTGACAACACCAGGTTCTTTTCTACTGCTGTTTCTGTAACCGCAGCACTTGAGTTACACAAAGTAAAAAAATCAATATCTATCTATACTTGCTGCCTTCAGGATTTTTAGACTGTTTAACAGATACAAACACAACCAAGAAGATGTTTTTCAAAAAAGCTCAATGGTAAATAACACATCAATTCATAACCTCTCGTGAGATCTTCAGGAATTTAGTCTGGTTCAACCATATCTTTAGGAACACAAACAGGAAGATAAGCATTGCATGAATGTGCCTTCAATAAAAAATCTAATAAAAAGGTTTATCTTTGTTTCTATAAGCTCAGGAAAGGATAATAACTTCTCTTTACTCTCTATCCTCTCGTTTCAGGAGGTCTAAACACCCTGTGGGGTGATGTGACATTTTGTCATCAGGCTGATTATGTTTCCTGCAGGTTCAACTTTCCTCAAATCTCCACACACCCACACAAACAGCTCATTAGTGCATTTAGGCCTTGTTTTCTTGAGTTTATGGGCCACTAAGAACTGGACACTAAAGAAGCAGACAAAAGGCTAAATAACATACATGATAACCGTTCAACCAACAGGAAAAACAACTCAAAGAATTTATTAAATGTGGCAACAAGAAAATAGCTGCAACTCTGGATGGTAGTTCAAAGCTAATTCAGCAAAACAAGGTTTAGCTGAAACCAGAGTTTCCTGGATAAAAGATGATATCTGCTTTTTGCACGGAATGTTTTTTTAAGTCCAGTCTTTCTCATCGTTTACTCAAAGGATCCTGGATTTGGACTACTCAAAGTGTAACGTGATCATTTGGAGGCAGATGGGAACTGATTGTGTGACAGCTTTTCTGGAAACCTTTTGTTGAATGGTCAATGATGGACAGGAGCCTTGGGCAGCGCCTGTCCATTATGCTCTTTGTCATGACTGCATGTAAACTCCTGTCTAAAGGTAAACGAACACATACAGAGAAACCGGACTGGCGGCGTTCCCATCACTTGGCTTTCAGGCATCACAGCTGCTGAGAACAGCACAGGTATGACATAATTTGGAGATTCTTGATGTAGACTCTCCAACACATTAATATGAAATTAAAAAATTTACATTTAGAACTCATAAGCAGTTCTTTATGTACTCAGGCTTTAATGTACTTTATAAGCAGCCCAATTGAGTCCTTTAAAACACTTAAATGATGGAGAGCCTCCATTGCAGCAGTAAGGAAGAAAAATTATTAAGAGCCCTCATATCTTGATTCTCTTCAGATGGCACTTGTAGGGAAATATGCACCTACTTAAATTGCTACCAGCAGTTAATTTGCCACTTGGAAAAAGAAAATAACTGGCTTGAAGAGACAAAAAGCCTTTACATGCCTTTGAGAAAAAAACATGCAAACAGACCCAAACAACTCAATAAGTCCTGAGAGACAATAGTAAAGAACAAAGAGGTGGTTGAAAAGGTTTCATGACTCATGTAGTTCTATAATAGCAGTTATAGATTCATTGTATAAGTAGTGAAAATCAATCACTGGCATCACAGTTCATTTCTCTACAAAAACCTGACTTTTTGTAATTCCTAAAAAAGTAGTCCTGGGGTTTAGGTTTTCAATAAGTAAACTCTAAATGTTGTTGGTTATTAGCCACTAAAGTGGAGCTGACATACCTGGTGCTGCAGTATGCTTCCAGCACATTTCCTGCATGTTTTAGATCATGAACACAGCTGATTCGTTTAATTTAGCGATGGATCACTTCTGTGGACAATAATGAAGACTGGGAGACGTTTCAGCTGTTAGATTAAGGTGTTAAAAAGACAAACGCACAGCGAGGAGATCCGTTTGACTTTGGTTTTTACTAACGGACTCTAGGGGGGTGATAAAAGCATGTCACTGTACCATTATCAATGAATCAGCATAAAGGGCACTAGTTTTCAAGAGATAGACCAGTGTTGTATTAACACAAGCCAGAAAATTTTGCAAAACATAATAATAATAAAACACTAACTGGGTAAGGAATTACTAATACAAAGGTACACATCTAAAATAATATGAATGATGGATAGGCTGTTTCTCAGAGAGAGGCTGTTGAAAATAGTTTTTTTTTATCCTTTTCAGAAGCAAAACCATAAAATATACAATTAGTCTTTCAGAAGATGCATTTATTTATCAAACATGTTGACATAATTGATCTCAAAATAAGAGCAGCTGTCAAGAAGGTAGATGGACAGAAGATAAACAATTTACCAGATGACAAAAGATTTGTACAAATCTGAACTCAAATTTCAAAGCAAACGATGCACAGGGACTGTAATTACTCTTGGTTTTAGTTCCAGGGCCAAACTTTCTGTGTTATTAAAAGGTTGTGGGGTCGTCATCATCAGTGTCCATTGAGGGAATTCAATCTCAGAAGAAATTAATCACTAGAATATTTGGGTAGGCAATGAAGGGGGAGATATTTTAAAATGTTCAAAGAATTAAATAAAAATATGGTATGAGACTGTAGTTTCATTTTGAAAGGACAGCAAAGTACCATGGACTGATTTACTTTGCAGGAGCACAAACATCCTTAACCCCAACTATAAATTATTTTCAAATGAACATAGGATAACTTTTAATATCTTCCCATTTAAATAGTGACTTTAAAGAATATCAATGTGATGCAATTTGTTTCTGGCTTGTATATTTTATTCTAATTTATGTTTGTACATGTTTTCCTGTTCAACATTTTCCTACCATAACACACACACAAATAGGTCAATTAAAGCTTTCCCGACATACTTACCTGAAAAATGTCACAAAGAACTGGACCAGGTCCATGATACTGCTGTGTTGGGAGAAGGCAATCTATGTGAGAATAATAAGAAGTTATTATAACTCAGAGACACATAATTTAAAGTCTTTATAATCAATAACAAAATCTGTAAATGTGACTAAAGTTCAATGCAGCTATCACGGGCACAAGTCAAATCATGTTTACAGTAGTTCTACATCACAAACAGCCACTGAATTTGCTGAGAACAGCCTGTGAATTCTGACTGAGCTCTCCTGGTTGATTTGTGACATTGTGTGGAGGTTAATATGACGTGGCGTCCACAGGTCAAGTGAGCACTCTGAGCAAAACTGGCTTGGTAAAGGTCACTGACTCACTGGAGGCCCTGCTACTAAAACTGTCGGTAAAATAAACGCTCAGTTTGATTTTAGTAGAATGAGACGGGAATAAGGTAAGAGTTTGTGGCAGGAGACAACAGCCTTTATTGAATCCATTAGATGGATGAGAAGTGAAGGAATGGGGGTTGCCCGTAGAAACTATTGAACTGGCTTGATCTGGACTGATAAATTATTTCAGCAGTTTACCAAGAAATAATGAAGCTTTAAAAAAATTTGAGGTTCAAGTCTGAGAATAATCGTAGTTGGTTATTTCCATCTCCGTGCCTCATAGGAGAAGAAGCCTGTGAATAATAAGTCAGAAGTATGTTTCATCTTCATTAAAAGATGGAGATTACACACAGCCCTGGCAGCAAAATCATATATGATCAGCCACATCACCGTGACAAGTCATTATCTGCTACAGATGTTTTGAACCACTTCTGCCCGGAAAGCATTTAGACACACAAACACAATGTCATCTGCAGCTGTATGGAGCCTCTGAACAGCAGCATGTAGGTTCAGATGAAAAAAGCACAATTTGTGCTATTGAAGGTGGGTTGTTTGCATCACATTTATGCAAATTTCAAAAGTAGATTCACTTAATGGTTTGAAATATTCAAAAAAGAAAAAATACAGATGATCGCTGGTTGTTTAAAGAGAATGAATGCAATGATTCATTATTATAACCATTTGCAGGCAAATAATTCTGGCACAGTTCATCTATCGCTTCATTATCAGCTATTGACAAGCTAGAGATGACTAAATATTTGAGATTGTAACTATTTCAGAGATAATAATGTGCATGTTTTAGATGAGTTGACATCCTCCTTTGGCAACTCCATTACCCTCACAAACTTCAACCACCTTTGACTTTTTTCAACCTTATCAAGGAGAAAATGAGAATCCTTGATCTGAAATGTGATGCTCACTGACACGGCTAACATGAAAAGTACCGATGATTAGCAGGCTTTTTATAATAAATGGGACACTTCTATTTTGTTCCTACTAAACCTGCCTTTAATCTCAAAGCAATATGTGTAAGGCACATTTAATTTCACTAGATCTCTGCCCATCAATCACACCACTTTTAAGCTTTCTTCTATTAGAAAATTGTTGCTTTTGAACAGAGCAATCACTTGGATTTCAATCACACAAACGATAATGTCACTGAATGATTTCACCTTTAATAGCCTTTAGTTTACTTCCAAATGCTCAGATTTTCCTTAAAATGGAGTTGTATGAAGGCATTTAAAATACAGCCTTATCTCAAACACTTTCAGCATCATGAGGTCCCAACAAGGAAAGAGACAGCACCCTGTTATAGAAGCTTTTTGCTTTCACAGCTCAGACTAGGTCCACAATAAGTAAGTGACTGTTGGCTGGAAAATTTAATAGAAAGCTATTACAGCACCACCTCCACAGATGGACCAACCCCACAGATGGTATCACTCCAAGAAGGTCCACTCATCTACCATCTGAAATGATGGGGCGGAAAATAAAAATCAATATTTGGGGTGGGTTGATTAGCAAAATGGATTTTGGATTCTATTATTAGGAGTCACTCTTGTTATCTTACTGTATAGTATTTCTATGTGACGCCTTATGGTTTTAAGCTTAAACAAACATGTTTAGTGTTAGGAAGGTTGCTGTTGGTGTTTCAGCAAAAAGTCACCATTCGTCAAATAATTACAACTTTTCCATAAAACTAATTAACACATTTGTGGACTGAATAGCGGGATGCACTGTGGTTTATATCAATAAGTGTTTTGTGAGCCATTTCTAGTAGCAGGAGTTCGAACAGTTACTGTTGTTAAAACAGATAACAGTGAGTTTTAGTTTATTCCTCTCATAAATATTATGAATAAGCAGGCTGAGGTTAAAATTTTGAATTGTTTTCCCAAAGCTTCAATAGGACTTCTCTTGATTTGTTCTTTTCTCGTCTAGTCCCACCCAGGGGTGCATCCAGAAAATGTTGATAGGGGTGGCCAGATGGGGCCAAAGAAATTTTTGGGGTGGCACACCAAATTGGTCCTTGTGTTACAGTAACTTTGGTTGAATTTAGTCTGTGGCGATGTACTGCATTGCGCCTTTATTCGTTTTTATTAAAATAACAGTACGTATCCAAAACATTTAACTTTAATTTTACAAACACAAACATTTTAGAAAAATGCATGTCAGTTATTTAAAATGTTATCCAAAATTTTATTTAAAAATGTATATTTTGGGGGTTAATTCCCCTGTGGCTGTGTTTGCAAAAAAATAAAAAAAACTATGGCAATAAAAACTTTCTTTAAAATGGTGAGCAGCAGAAACATATGTATTTTTTTAATTCCCATTATTTCTTTACTCATTAATTGTAACATTTTTATTTTGTTTTACAATTACGTATGTCTTGAATAAACAAGATCAATATATGGTTTGATTGAACATTAATATGATTTGTTAACACTGCTTTTTCCTGGGAGGAGCCAGCAATTTTCTAGGGGTGGCCATGACCACCCCTGACCACCCCTTGGGGGCGCCCTTGGTCCCACCTCATCCATTTGCTGAGTGTTTTTTTTCTCCTCCGGAATCCCATCTTTTCCATTTTCTGATTGGATTTTAATTTCTGTCCATTTTTGTTGTCGTCTTATTTTTCAACAAAAGTGTCATAATTTAGTCTTTATGTTACATACATATGCTTTAAATATTTTTATTTATTTCAGATAAATAAATGTATTTTTCAGCCATTATTACAGGATAACATTTCACTGGCTGCTACTTGACTTTTTCAGATTATCCCAAGTTTTGCTCTGGGATTGTTATTATGTAATTCCTGTGAAGGGCTTAATCAGCAGCAGTTGTGAGGAATCTTTCCTCGCGTATGTTAGTGGTCCAGACTCTTAAAAATGACTGTGTAATTCTGTATACACTACTCAACACCATCATTGCTATTTCACAACTGTTAATATACTCATTACAAACACCTGATGCCAATTTCTCCTCAACTTTAAATCTGAGAAGTTTAGATTTTACTAATCACATTCTATGTTTCATTTTACGTCATTCTTAAAGGTATTTCCATGAAAACCCAAATTTCTCTAAAACAAATGGGGATTTTGTCAGAGGGTCAGATATGTTTAATGGCATCATAAAAGTGAGTCTCGTGTTGTGTGCTTTGCTAAGAAGGTCAATGGCTAGAAACTCCCCTCCATACAGGACCTGTACACCTCCAGGACATTGGGGCATGCAGGTCAAATCACAGCTAACCCGTGTCACCCTGTAGTCTTTTCGACTTGCTCCCATCTGGCAGGAGGCTCAGATCCATTTGAACCAGAACACTCGCCACAAGAACAGTTTCTTCCCCTCTGCAGTTGGACTCATGAGTGACAATCCTAGAACTGCCCACTCAAGTCACTTTGTTTCAGTCACTTCACCCTGTGTTGTGTTTGCACCTGAATGTTCCGCTCTGATCAGCAAACTGCCTTGTATGTATTCTTTGGTTTTCTAATTATTGCTGCTCTATAAGATTACTTTATTGAGCTTATTTCTTATTCTTACACCAAGTACCGCAGCATTTACCTAATGTGAACCTGCTCACACATGTGACAATAAAACCCTTCTATTTCTGATTCGATGAGTCACAGTCCTTACCTGGATTTTGATTGGCCATGAGAAGTTACTGACATACACGTAGAAAGTAATATTAGGGTTGCTTCTAAAGGTGAACTTTTCACAGGAGAAACTGTCTCTGTATTCCTTGATGTTTGTTTTGGACACAATGGGCACTTCCTCTCCAGAGATGGTTCCAGCTGTTGGGATAAAGAGTTCATTTTAAGCACAATGCCTTTTAGCTTTCAGACAGCTTACACACACTGAAAGGAAGCTGCTTTAGCTACAACATATTATTATGCATGCATTAATGGGTTTATTTAGCCATTTTGAACAACAGGAAACCACTCACAGGCAATTATTATTTCTTCACTGCATTTAACTTCTGTTATGTGGACAGAACAAAATAATGTGTGCAGCTTTTTTGTGGAATTAAACATGCCTGTTTAAATTTGATTCAGAGGGGAAAGACTGACCACACAACCATCTTTTAATTTTGAATTACAAACAACCTCACTTGTGATTCATATGTTAGAACTGAAAAAACAAGATGCTGACGTCAGTCATTCTCCTCCTTGAACCATCACCTTATCGTGGTGGAGGAGTTTGAGTGCCCTAATGATCCTAGGAGCTATGTTGTCTGGGGCACTTCGTGCCCCTGGTAGGGTCTCCCATGACAAATTGGTCTTAGGTGAAGGGTGAGACAAAGAATGGTTCAGAAGATCTTTCATGGATGTAAATTCAAAGAGTCGGAGTACCCAGCCCAGAGGGTTACCGGGGTCCCACCTTGGAGCCAGGCCTGGGGTTGGGGCCCGTGAGCGAGCGACTGGTGGCCGGGGTTTCGCCCATGGGGCCCGGCCGGGCCCAGCCCGAACCGGATACATGGGCTCATTCAACTGTGGACCCACCACCTGCAGGAGGAACATGAAGGGTCCGGTGCAGTGTGGATCGGGTGGCAGACCAAGGCGGGAGCCTTGGCGGTCTGATCCTCGGACAAGGAAACTGGTTTTTGGGACATGGAAAGTCACCTCACTGGCGGGGAAGGAGCAGGAGCTTGTGGCAGAGGTTGAGCGGTACTGGCTAGATATAGCTGGACTCACCTCGACACATAGCATTGGTTTTGGAACCCAAGTCCTTGAGAGGGGTTGGACACTCTCCTTTGCTGGAATTGTTCCAGGTGAGAGGCGGAGGGCTGGGGTTGGCTTTTTGTTAGCCCCAAGACTCTCTACCTGTGTGTTGGGGTTTACCCCAGGGGACAAGAGGGTAGCTTCCCTGCGCCTTCAGGTCGAGGAACGGGTCCTGACTGTTGTTTGTGCTTATGGGCCAAGTATCAGTTCAGAGTACCCACCCATTTTGGAGTCCCTGGGATGAGTGCTAGATAGTGCTCCATCAGGTGACTCCATTGTCCTGCTGGGGGACTTCAATGTTCACGTGGGCAATGATAGCTTGACCTGGAGGGGTGTGATTGGGAGGAACGGCCCACCTGATCTGAACTTGAGTGGTGTTTTGTTATTGGACTTCTGTGCAAGCCGCAGTTTGGCCATAACGAACACCATGTTCGAACATAAGGATGCCCATCAGTACACTTGGTACCAGGTAGCCTAGGTCGCAGGTCGATGATACATTTTATAGTCATATCATCTGACCTGCGGCCATATGTTTTGGATACCCGAGTGAAGAGAGGAGAGGAGCTGTCAACTGATCACCAACTGGTGGTGAGTTGGATCAGATGGCAGGGGAAGATGCCGCGTACACCTGGCAGACCCAAACGCATAGTGAGGGTCTGCTGGGAACGCCTGGCAGAAGAATCTGTCAAGACGGTCTTCAACTCCCACCTCAGCTTTGACCGCGTCCCAAGAGCAGTGCGGGACATTGACTCCAAGTGGGCCTTGTTCCACTCTGCGATTGTTGAGGCGGCTGTTGCTAGCTGTGGTCGCAAGGTGGCCGTTGCCAGTCATAGTGGCAACCCCCGTACCCGCTGGTGGACACCAGAGGTTCGGAGAGCCATTAGGCTGAAGAAGGAGGCCTACAGGATGTGGCTGGTCTATGGGTCTCCGGAGGCAGCAGGCAGGTACCGGGTAGCCAAGTGGGGTGCAGCAGTGGCAGCTGCCAAGGCAAAATCTCGGGCGTGGGAGGAGTTTGGTGAGGCCATGGAGAAAGACTATCGATCGGCTCCAAAGAGGTTCTGGCAAACTGTCCGGCGCCTCAGGAGAGGAAGGCAGCAACTCGCTCACACTGTTTACAGTGGGGATGGGGAACTGCTGACGTCAACTGGGGCTATAGTCGGACGGTGGAAGCAATACATTGAGGAGCTCCTCAATCCCACCTACGCGCATTTCGAGGAGGAACCAGAGCCGGGAGACCTGGGGATGGACTGTCCAATCTCGGGGGCAAAAGTTGCTGAGGTAGTCAAACAACGATACAGCGGCGGAGCCCCGGGGGCGGAAGAGATTCATCCTGGGTATCTCAAGGCTATGGATGTTGTAAGGCTGTCATGGTTGACATGTCTCTGCAACATTGCATGGTCATCGGGGGCAGTTCCTCTGGAGTGGCAGACCGGGGTGGTAGTCCCCATCTTTAAGAGGGTTGACCTGAGGGTGTGTTCCAACTGTAGGGGGATCATACTCCTCAGCCTCCCTGGAAAGGTCTACTCCAAGGTACTAGAGAGGAGGGTCTGATCGATAGTTGAATCTCAGACTGAAAAGGAGCAATGTGGTTTTCGTCCTGGCCGTGGAACTGTGGACCAGCTCTATACCCTTGGAAGGGTGATGGAGGGGGCATGGGAGTTTGCCCAACCAATCCACATGTGTTTTGTTGATTTGGAGAAGGCTTATGACCGTGTCCCCAGGGGCACCCTGTGGGGGACGCTCCAGGATTATGGGGTGGGTGGTTTTCTGTTAAGGGCCATTCAGTCCCTTTACCAGAGGAGTATGAGTTTTGTCTGCATAGCCGGTAGTATGTCGGACCTGTTCCTGGTGAGGGTTGGACTCCGCCAGGTCTGCCCTTTGTCACCGATTCTGTTCATTACCTTTATAATAATAATAATAATAATAATAATAATAATAATAATAATAATGCATTGAACTTATATAGCGCTTTTCTAGACACCCAAAGATGTTTTCACACACTCTCACATTCACACACTGCTAGTGATGGTAAGCTACTTGTAGCCACAGCCGACCTGGGGAGGTCTGACAGAGGTGAGGCTGCCATTTGGCGCTGTCGGCCCCTCTGACCACCACTAACACAGGCAAGTTGGGTGAAGTGTCTTGCCCAAGGACACAACAGCAGGATACCCCTGGCGGGAGCTGGAATCGCACCCATGACCCTCCGATCATGAGGCAACCCGCTCTACCACCTGAGCTACTGCTGCCCCAATGGACAGAAATTTGGACAGATATGGACAGAATTTCTAGGCGCAGCCGTGGTGTGGAGTGTGTCGAGTTTGGTGGCAGGAAAATCTCGTCTTCTTTTTGCGGATGATGTGGTCCTCCTAGCTTCATCCAACTCTGACCTTCAGCTCTTGCTGGGTAGGTTTGTGGCCGAGTGTGAAGCGGCTGGGATGAGGATCAGCACCTACAAATATGAGACCATGGTTCTCGATCGGAAAAGGGTGGCTTGACAACTCTAGGTCGGGGGAGAGGTCCTACCTCAAGTGGAGGAGTTTAAGTATATTGAGGTCTTGTTCACAAGTGAGGGTAGGAGGGATCGGGAGATCGACAGGCGGATTGGTTCAGCATCTGCAGTGATGTGGACGCTGAGCCGATCTGTCGTGGTGAAGAGGGAGCTGAGCCAGAAAGCCAGGCTCTCGATTTACCGGTCGATCTATTCCCAATCCTCACCTATGGTCATGAGCTTTGCGTAATGACCGAAAGAACGAGATTGTGGATACAAGCGGCCAAAATGAGTTTCCTCCGTAGGGTGGCCGGGCTCAGCCTTAGAGATAGGGTGAGGAGCTCGGACATTCGGGAGGGACTCGGGAGTAGAACCGCTGCTCCTCCGGATCGAAAGGAGTCAGTTGAGGTGGTTTGAGCATCTGGTCAGGTTGCCTCCTGGACGCCTCCCTGGGGAGGTGTTTCAGGCATGTCCTGCCGGCAGGAGGCCCCGGGGTCGACCCAGGACACGTTGGAGAGGTTACATTTCCAATCTGGTCCGGGAACGTCTTGGGGTCCTGCCGGAGGTGCTGGTGGAGGTGGCCGGGGAGAGGACGGTCTGGAGCTCCCTAGTTGGGATGCTGCCCCCGCGACCCGGACACGGATAAGCGGAGAAAGATGATGACGACAACAACAACGACGAGAATTGAACATTAAATATGAACAGGAAAAACTGCAGGAATGTATCAAAACTCTTATAAAAAACTAACATTAATCATGAATACTTGTCTGGACATGTTTGTGTCATTGAAACGTGTCATCTAGCTGTGTGTTACAATTACTGATATCATCACAAAACCAAAAGATGACTTTTTTTTAGTCTAAAACTCTTAAAAATTTGTCCATTTCCCATCTGTCCTAATGTTCCAGTCCTTTCTCATTCTTCTTCATGTCACTGGTTTCTCAGCATTGATATTCCAACCCACAGCTCTGAAACAAAAGCAGCAAAAATGACAGCTTGAGTGTGGCTACATGCGCACGTTTATCTTAATTGAAATCGCCCCCCCTTCTACCCCCTCTCCCTCCCCCCTTCTACCCCCTCTCCCTCCCCTCCCACCTAAAGGTGCCTCATGCTCTTGTCAATTGTGAAGAGGCTTTCATTCCTTCTGAGACACAATATCTTTGCAGGAGAAAGGGGACCCGACTTCAAATATTAATGACGGCGCTCTGAAAAGGTTAAGGTGGCGGTGGGGGAGGAGCACGCGAGGCTAGCGTGTTTCAGTGGACAGAAAATGTCAATGTTGTGGAAGAAAGAGAAAGGGTTGGATGACTCGTGAGTAAAAAGGGAGATGAACAGCAGCTCTAGACTAGTGACTGCAGTGTCCTTGGGTGTCTCTCCTCAGGAAAACTATAGCAGCTACTCAACAGTGACCCCATAAACAAGAGGGATCTTAGTGTTACTCTTATCCTTCATATTAATGTTTTAGTGAAATTAACAATTAATTTGATGTCAAATGTGACAAATTACCAGATTTATGAGCCAACATCAGCTCAGAATTTTTGTTTTTGTTAGACTTACTAGATATACACAGATGCACCGGCCAGCCATGTATGGCGTATGATATAATTGCAATATTGTTGCAAATTTTTTTTTGTCCCAATTTCATCACAGTTTCAATGTTCCATGAGTTTTTCCCCTTTTCTAGTGATGTTTATAAAGAAGGACTGGAGCTTTCTGCAGCAGTTGTGAGTGTGAAAAGCAGGGGGGAGGGCGGAGACAGGAAGGGACATTTCATTTATTTATTCTTTACTGTATTTAACCAGGAAAGTCCCACTGAGATCAAAAACCAAACTTTCAAGGGAGTCCTGGCCAAGAGGCAGCAAAACATGGGGAACCTGGGAAAATCCTGAAGCTCTCCCTGGCCAGACAAGAAACATAGTTCCTCCAGCTATGGGTCTTCCTTTAGGTCTCCTCCCAGTTGAGCTGCCCAGAAAACCTCATCAGGGAGACATCCAGAAGGCATCCTAACTAGATGCTCGAGCCACCTCAACTGGCTTCTCTCGATGTAGAAGAGCAGAAGATCTACTCTGAGCCCCTCCCGGATGACCAAGATTCTCTGCCTATCCCTAAGGGAGAGCCTAGACACCCTGCAGAGAAAACTCATTTTGGCCGCTTGTATCTGTGATCTTGTGACCATAGGCAAGGGTTGGAACGTAGATTAACCAGTGAAAAAAAGCTTTGCCTCCGAGCTCAGGTCTCTCTTTACTAGGACAAACCGGTACAATGCCAGCATCACCATAGATGCAGCACCGATCTGCCTATCGATCTCCTGCTCCATCTTTCCCTCACTCATGAACAAGACCCCAAGACACTTAAACTCCTCCCGCTGGGACAGAATATCATCCCTGACCCAGAGAAGGCATTCTATCCTTTTGCAACTCAAGACTATGGTCTCGGATTTAGACGAGCTGATTCTCATTCCAGCTGCTTTACAGTAAGCCGCAAATCAGCCCAGCGACAGTTGATCACGGTCTGATGAAACCAAAAGGACCACATTGTCTGCATAAAGCAGAGACCCAATACTTAGACCACAAAAACGGATCCCCTCACCACCATGAAACATTATGAACAGAATCAGTGACAAAGAGCACACTTGGCAGAGTCCAACCCTCACTGGGGACGAGCCTGGCTTACTGCTGGCAAACAAACCAAGCTCCGGCACTGATCATTCAGGGACCTAGCAGACCGTATCAATTAGCCAACTGCCCTGTACTCCCTGAGTACCCCCCACAGGGCTCCCCAAGAGACATGGTCAAACACCATCTCCAAGTCTACAAAACACATGTGGATTGGATGGGTGAATTGAGAACCTTTGCAAACCTTTTGAGACATCTTCAAAACTCCTTGAAGAATGCTTTTTGCAACGTCTCACCAAAAGCTGCAGCCCAGTGGGATGCTGCCGTTATGAGTAATCTGTCAGCCTTGAATACAATTAAACTTGCTTTTAGAGAACTGATGAATCACTTCTAATATTAATAATAAACAGGAAACTGATTGATATAAACAAAGTATTATAAGACTTCGTAACACGTGGAAAACAAATGATTTACCTGTTGAGCCCACTGACCACGTAATATTGAGGTTGAAGTTGTTGGATGCGTTGATGGACATGTCCAAGTTCTTGTTTGTCTTTAACAGAAAAACACCAGTTAAGTGCAGGACAATAGGTGATGAATCTGTGATTAATTGGGAAGACTTAAAGAGCTCACCTGCTCAGGCGAGGCCATAAAGTTGATGGCGGTGTAGTGGTCATCATCTTCTTGGATGAGGCTAAATGTGAACTGGTAGTCGATCAGAAGATTATCTAAGAAAACCAGACACAAAACACAGTTTCATAAAAAAGGATAAGACTTTATGAGCTGAGATGCCATTTGCTGCTTTTTGGACAACTAGATCAGACCTAACTTGTTTAGTGTAGGCGTTTTCTACAAAAGCACAATGCAATTAGCAAGATTAGATCTGAAGTACATCTATTGGTAAAATATCATTAGTTTATTTTTCACTGACAAATTATATACCACCCAAAATTTGTCATGAATGTTTGTTTATTTGAAATGAAATGACTCAAGAAGCCTTTGACAAGAAAATTAGACTATGTAATGACAGAAATTTGACTTGTTTGTATATATTCTCCAGCATTGACCAAATTTTTTTCTTCCCTGGTATCAGATTGACAACCTACCATTTGATCCAGGAACAGCAAATTGCAGAGTAGGATTTTGTATTTTGTGAATCCCATTTTATAACTTTTACAGGTAATGCACTTGCATTACCTGCATGCAACAAAAGTCTAGAAGACAAACAGTATGATCAAAATGATCAATTACCTACAGAGTGAATGCTCTAAATCTCACTTTGAGTGCTTGGTGTTGCTTTAAGCTCAGTGGCCTTTTTCATTGTGGGGAGTGTCATGTTTACAATGCAGCGTAACAAAGCTCAAGGAGTTCCAGTCATGTCCAGAGGTTAAAACAAGCTTTTGGCGTCTAGTTTTCTGCCTCCTCCTTCCTGATTGCTATTCCTATTGTCAGGCTATGACATTTCAAAAAGGGACAAAACCTTGGCAAAAGGCTCTGATGTCAGTAGAAGAGTGCTGAAAGGCAGATAACAAACCACTATGTACAAAGTAGTACTGTGAAGGACACCCCAATGTGCAAATAAACACCCCAAGAACAAACAGGATGTACAGTGCTCTCTGACGAACAAGCCAGACTTGTACCACCACTATGTAAGCACCTCCTACTTTGACAGATTTCCCTTTTACTTCAAAAGTCACTTCATCATTTTGTCAACTTTGGAAATGAATTAATGAATAGTTGTGTGATTGAGTGAGTAGACAAGTGGAGAAATTTTACTCCTCCGTCTCCTTGATTAGCTCAATCACTCATTCCCTCTGATGCACTTGACATTTTCACGACAAGTCATTCTGTCACCGAACAAGCACCCCTGATGCCAAAGTGCTAAGATGCGCCATCTGCCCTGAGCGGAAGAGTGCAAGTGTAGAAGTAAAGAAAGGAGGAAAAGTAGAGAGAAAGAACAGCCAATGATGCGTGCACGTGTATGTGCAAGCACATATGAGCCGTAGCCGTCCAGTAGAGAATTACTCACAGTAGCAGGTTCCTCTGAGTGGATTGCCAAGGTAACGGTTTTCTGAGTCACATCTGCAGAAAAGAAAACAGAAAGGAGACGGGATGAAGATGTGATTAAGAGTGCCAACAGATTGAAAGCAAAAATGTGTCTTGTCAGGTGTGTGTGTGTGTGTGCCAAGTGTCAACGCATAAGCTCCTGCTGCTGGTGCTTCGTCGTAACTCTTCTGACAAAAAGGAAACCATCTGATGGCTTGAAAAAGTTCATTTGAAGTTCCTAAACCTTTTCTCTGTTAAAGCAACACAGTGACGTGAACCAGCTGGTTCCTTTCAACTAAGACCAGAGAATAACAACATCCTACCTAGTAAGTTCAAATGAAAGAAACTGCTCGTGTTCAGTTTTGTAAAGCTCTTTCACTCCTCATCCAGGGAGATCTATGCATTTTGAGCGACTGTGTTAGAACCTTTAAACTTTATTTTAGTGTTCTAGTTGTTATTGTGTAATGCCTTCTGACCAAAGATATGGTTACAGGATTTTGGATCCAGAAGGGGCACAATCTTTACTGCCTAAGGGAAAAAAACTAAACTCAATATAATGTCTACCATGAGCTTCATGCTAGTTTATATTTTTAATATGCAGTTTTCATTTTGTTGACTAAATATGTTTGTGTTTTTTTCATGACAAATTAATTTTTGCTGACTAAAACAAAACAAAAACATACACGCCAATAAAGATTAAATTGACCGACATTTCCGTTGACGAATAAGACGACAACAAAAATGGACAGAAATGAAAATCAGAAAACAGAAAAGATGGGTGACCAGAAAAAAGAACCATTAAGCAAATGAAACAGGCGGGACTAGATGAGAAAAGAACCAATCAGAATGCGGAGCCCACCGCTTTTTGAGCAAGCTAACCAGACATCATATACTGATGCTCATGCCTGTAAACGTTATGTCTAATAGGAAAAAATATCCATGGCTGTGAATAAAAGCAGTAGTTGTGACGATCTTAGAATTATTTGCTTGGTGAGTAGACATCCGGGGTTTCCCCTGGTTTTATAAGGGTTACGGTGGTATTAGCAGCTAGCAGGGGTGGGAGAGAATGTGCTGGAGCTCAGTGAACTGAACCAAGCTCACGAAGCAGTGCACTGCGCATCTTGTTTTCTAATTGTTTTATTTTTTGTGATGCTGCTACGGCCGATATGATCAGCGTTCTGTATTCTAGCAATGCTTTTGTAAGGAGAAACTTTCAGTTAGAAGCTTGATTACTAAAATATTCAACAATTGCAGTCCTCTAATCTCAATACATCAACATGTCTACACAGCTTGTAGTTAATAAACTCAAGAAAACAATGAAAACATGTAGAAAACCTAATCAGGTGTCTCAAAGGACTCATGCTGAGTAGCAGGAAGCTTGTCATGATATGCTACACAGGGCCAAGTTCTCCATCTCTTATAGAGAAGTTAAAACAAGCCACACCTATAAAGTAAAAATAACCTGAAATCATTCATTAAAAGGTGCAAATTCACATTTTAAAATAACTAAGTACAAAAACTGCTAAACCCAGTATAGAGTCCTTCATACAGATCTCTGCCATTTGTGAAGAAAGAAAAACAAGGTTGAGTTTAGTTTAATATAAGGCATTTACCAATAAATAGATATTATTTACAAGAGGAAATCCAGAATCCAAAATAGCTCCTGAGTTATGAATCAACAAGCACTGGCAGCCGGACTATCTGTCACTACAACAACAGCTTGGATAACAACACAAGCAAACAGTTACTATGTTCTCTGACAAGAACAAAAATGACATCTCTAAAGTACCAGACTTAAACAACTTTTTATTTGACACCTATTAAACAAAGGAATGAAAACATCTGTAGTTTGCCAGAGCAGCACTATTATCACTTAGCAAGCGTGATAGGGTGGAATCGGCCAAAACAGACAAACTTCACAATGAAAAGCTGCCAAGTACAAACAATTAATTTATATCCATGGGGGCCATCTACTGCTTTGATGATTAGTGTGTTTCATTAGGCTTGTGTATTTCCAAAGCCCTCTAATCAAGAGGAGCATATGGCAATGTTCACTGGACTGCACTGTCCTTTATTCATCCCTCAATCTTTTACACCCTCAACTGTCAACAACCTAATCTGAACTGCGATGCTATCTCTCCAAAATTTACCCTTTGCGCAGCATCACACATGCGTTAGAGCTGTACAAAGTGAATAATGTAAAGTTGGTTCTAAAATTACTAATTTATTTTAGCAATCATGTCATTTCACAGTTTTTCCATGTTACAGATAAACTTCTTAGAATGTGACAACAGAGGCAGTGAGGAGTTAGAAGGGACAGGGGGCTTGGGAGGGAGGCTGAATGTGAGACAAATGAGCATGGCGTATGGGGGGAAAGAGGCTGTACATTTAGAGTAATCTATATTCACGTATAGATTCATGTATAGATTCACTGGACAGTGAGTCATTTCTGAGGAGAGTGTATGAAAAAACAAAAAGATAAACACTAAAGAAGTGAAAACTAAGTAAGACCTGAAAATTCAGATTTCAAAAAAGAAAAGTGTAACATTAAATGAAGACTGGGGTAAAATACCTAGCATTCTCTGAGGGATTGCATATTGCCCTCCACTTTTGTACAACTGTTTAAACTACAATCATCTTTGTTGGAGAAACGATAGAATTCAGTTTGTTAGCTGGATTGGCCATCTTAAATCAATTTAACAGACAAAGCTGTTTTACGACCAATTACTGCCTTTGGTGAGTTTTATTAAAAGTCAGTCCAGTGGTTTAGGAGATCATTCGCTAACAAAAATGATTTCAACCTCTAATGCCAAAGTTTTAAGCCAACATGTCACTCTTGTTGGTGCTTGAAGTATTTGATGCTACTATAGGACACCAAATTTTAGCTCACTAACCGTAACATTGACTAAGTTATAGATAATTTGTGTTTGAGGATTCTATCAAGGCTGTGGCAGACATATTGAATGGGGCTGACTTCTGAATGATGGAAGCCAGATATTTCAAGCCTTCATTTGTAGTGATGGGTACCAAATTCGGTACTTTTTAAGGTACCGACTGAATTCCATAGTACCGACCGAGCACCGATTCACGTCGTTTCAAACGGTGCCTCGTTTCTGTACCCGTCCTTCATAATGAGAACTTGCCAAGACAGCTGCGCATGCGCAAGAGCGTTATGTCGTCGGTCCCTGCGAGCGAGTTGTAAACAGAGCAGCATGGTAGAAAGAACGCACGCTAAAGCTTGGGTCCACTTCACTAAATGTGATGGGTAACTGGGTTATGATGAAACCAGCGACAGACAACGATCTAAGTGAGACATCCTCATCTTAATCTGCTCCGGTAGGTAAATAAAATGTTTAAGATAACGTTAGCTTGATATGTTAGCTTCCGTTTCACTAATGGTGCGTTCGCTTTCTCCTCGGAACTCCGAATTTCCGACTAGAACATGAACGCACTCTAAAGTTTGGCTTCACTTTACTAAATGCGACGGGTGATTGGGTGAAGATGAAACCAGTGACAACGATCTAAGTGTGAGGCATCATCGTTTTAATCTGCTCCAGCAGCTAAATAAACTGTTAAAGATAACGTTAGCTTGATATGTTAGCTTCCATTGCCACCGTTGTTATCAGCTAATGGTGCGTTCGCTTTCTCCTCGGAAATTCTAACTTACGAGTAGGAAAAATCAAATGAAAAAAGATGGCAAAAGGAATGAAGATACGCAGTAAATTTAGTTCACAGTAAAGATGTTTGCTTCAGTTTAATTATCAGCTTATAAAACTACAAGGACGATGTTAAAATACAAACAGTTGAATGTTATTTATCGTGATATGTATCAAATATTGTTATATATTGAGAAAAACATATATTTAATTATAAAAGAGAATTAAAATAATAAACGCTCAAAAGTATTGAAAATTGGTACCGTTAAGTACCGGTATCGATTCCTAGGTACCGGGAATTAGTACCGGATTGATTCAAATGTCAAAGGTACCCATCCCTATTCATTTGTTATAACTGTGATGATTATGGCTTACAGCGTATGAAACCCCACATTCAAAATCTCAGACAACTAGAATAACCTTCTTCTCCAGTACTTCCCTAAGAATCTCAATGGGGACTGGACTCAATCCATACCATACAATCAATTCAATTTCAAATCAATTTCCATCTGGGATTAATAAAGTATTTTTGAATTGAATTGAATTGAATACCATACCAGTTTATTTGTATAGCACGTTTACACACAGCAGGAGAGCTGACCTAAAGTGCTTCCCATAAAATACATTGCAACACAATAAATTAAAAACTGATAAATTAAACAATAAGATCAACAGATAAATATAACCACAAACATGGTCATAAAATCATAGGCCAAAGGGCCAAAGGTCAAATCATAACAATGCCTTTTTAAATGAGATTTGAAAGAGGCAAGTGATGGAGCCTGTCTAACCAACTGTGGAAGTGCATTCCAAAGAGTAGGGGCCGCACACATAAATGCGAGTTTCCCCGTGCTTTATAACTAATCCGGGGCAGGAGAGCAATCGAAGATCAGTGGACCTTGGTGCTCGCCCAGGAACATAAGGGGCAAGCAGTTCAGAAAGATACATTGGTGCCAGGCCATTGAGGAATTTAAATGTGAAAATCAAAACCTTAAAACAAACTAAAAGCAATGGGAAGCCAGTGAAGCTGTGCAAGGACAGGAGTAATATGACTACAGTGGCTGGTGCTTGTCAGAAACCTGGTAGCAGCATTCTGGACAAACTGAAGGCGATTCAGAGCCAAGACAGGGGTGTCGATTAGGAAAGCGTTGATATAGCCATGGTACTTTTTAACCTCTATATGCTCCCTCTGGGCAGCGTCATCAGGAGACATGGGGTGAATTTCCACAGTTACGCTGATGATACACAGTTGTACATCTCCGTGTCTCCTGATGACGCTCAGCCAATGGAAACACTTTTTAATTGCATTTTAGATATTAAATCATGGATGACTGAAAACTTTCTCCAGCTCAACCAGGGCAAAACTGAAGTTTTAGTCAT